GTTTTCACTCGCTGTTTCCTCTATCCTCTCCCTTCCCTTCCTTTGCCCGTTCTCACAATGACCTTTTTGTTGCCCAGCCGAAATGGAATGCAATTTAGCTAATTATTTCCTGTAATTGGCACGGTTTCTCTTTGGCAACGTGCATTCTTCCACTCCAAAAAAGAGAATTTCGAATGAGCCACACGAATGTAAATAGTCTCAGAGTTATTGAATATTAATTATTATTAAAAGATAAATGACAAAAAATAATTCTTCAAATAATGCTAATAACGAATCAATGATAGTTACAAATTACTCAACACCAAAAATTAAAAACCTACGACGGATTTGGATTTTCACAATAGTGAGACGAGTTGCGAAAAATCAGTTGTAAAGCGTACGTAATAATAAAGGACTCCTCAATAGATCTGCGTTGTGTCTCGTGTCTTGAAATTTACGTGAGATTTCTCAGAAGTTTCATCAAGTTTCCGATTATTATCGAATGTTCCGACGTGGTTTTTTTTTTTAATGTACACGATCGTTGTTAATCACGAGCGGGCAAAAAGCCAGCGCGTCCTTCCTCGCGTCATCGATTACTCACCGTTAAGTACGTGTACGGTGATCGATTTCGGTTGAGCATTACTGGGGTTACAAGTGTACCGTCCCGAGTCCGACGGCTTCGCTTCTTGCACCAGGAGGAAACTCGTCGTGCTGTCACCCTTCTCCGTGACCACGGAGACGCCGCCTCTGCTCGAGTCGTAGCTGATTATCTGGAACAGAGATCGGGCGATCGTTCTGAGACAAGGTGACGTCTCTCGGGTAGAACGAGAAGTCGCGGCGAGGACGGAAGGCGAATGAGAAACTGGCTGGCCAGTGCCCGGATACAGTTTTTATTGGGCGGCCCCGATGGGTATTGGCTATGAGGACGACAGGCACGGAGATAAGCTCGTGGAGGGAGCTCTCTTTTCGCGGAGCGAGTATAGGCGAGGGTGGAAAAAAATACGAGGTTTCTCTCCCTTAGCGAGAATTCTTAGCGCGTTCTACAAGATCGACGATCGGAAAGAGGTTGTAAAGTACGATACCCCGGGACGTCCGGTGATACGAGGAAGGTTCACCCAGACGGTTCGGTGCAAATTGCTTCGCCAGCGACTTATGCCCCCGAGGATATTTTCCAGGATAAATATTATTCCGGGTACGGACAATTTTCTACGGCGGAACTCTATTTACTGTTTAGCTTTCTATAATTTTTAATTAACTCTCCCCTTTCTTTTAATTATTAGTGTACGTTGCTTAAAAAATACATACTTGTAATGTAAAACTTTTTTCAAATTATATTTCAAGTATGTATTTTTTAAGCGAATAAAAATAAAAAGATATAATTTCCGTATATATAATATTTTATTGCAAAGATAAATGATGCATCTTCATGGTTATAAAAACGGAATTTACAATATTTGGTTTAAAGAGAATCGTATTTTTCTTGTATTATTAAAATAATCAAGATATCTTACGGCTATTACTTAAGCATTTACGTTGGAAAATTAGATGCAACGCTAGTAGTACACTCGTCGCAAGGGCTCGAAGAACGTCGTGTTTATCCTACGTCTGTTCCACTTGACGACGCTCACGAGTGACACTTTAACGCGAGGTTGGCAGAGTCCAACATTTGGATATATGCGGATGAAAGGAATAAGGAGCGGAGAGCGTTGCTAGAGTTGAAAAGGATTTTTAAATAAATAATTCGCAGCTAGAATCTTACAACAGTGCCTCCGTCTGAGAGGCAGGTAAGCCTTCTTAGGGGAGTGAGAATCGTAGAGCAACCCTGACAACATGTTGGATATTCGTTTCTTGGTTGTGTTTCGGTGTTAAAAAAATTTGGACGACGTGTTTCTCGCAGGATTATCTAAAAAGAGGTACCGAATGAATAATCAATACTCATTAATTCAATTTTTTTTTATACGGCGTACTTTCCATAAGAACCGTAATATCTAACTCAGAAACTTTGAGCTAGAGTGCATCGCTTTCTTTATAATTCAATAAACGAAAAAGTCTAGAATTTTTTTGTGAAAATAAATTTATGTCATATTGATATAATTTTATATATGTATATGTAAGACTTTTATTAAAGAACTCGTTAGTTTGCAATTATTTTGATGCACAGCTTCCGACATTATGTAACAGACGTTCAGATTTCATTCGCTCGCAGAAAGGCAAATTTAAGTGATTGCATGCAAAGCGTAATTGTTTCGTTGTGAAAGAAGAGCTTTTTTGAAGTTTCTTTCATCAGGTGTGTAAATATAAGCCGTACTCGGGAGAATTTAATCTTTCCGAGCTGCTGTATTCGCCGTGCCGTATTCGCCGCGCGCGCGCATCGAATCCCGAGGATAAGAATATATATTGGTCGCCGAGTTTCTGTTTATATCCCCCGTTTATATCCTCCTCCAACCATATACCACCCCTTCCCCCCCCACCCCTGGTTTCAAAGTGCGCGATTAATCGAACGAAAGTTAGCGGCTGTGCACCGCCGCGCGCCGCTTCCTTCCTTCCGTTCCGTTATCTAAACCGCGCGTTGCGGTCTAACGCAGAATAATATGCGAAACTTTCGTTCGAAAGTCCATGGGGTTAATCCGGCCGTACGTACGAGGCGCAAATAATGCCGGCGTACTAAGACACGTGCATTTATGATGTGCTCCTCCGCCGCTCCTCCGAGAGCCGAACTTTCCCTGCATCCTGCATGAAACGGCTCTCGATGTTGGCTTTTTATAATCCCTCGTTCTGGCAACTCGCAAATTAATGTTTCGAAAGGCGTTCATCCCTTCAGTTCGTTCGCGCACAGGCAGAAAATTAAACAACGCTCGAGGGCGAAGTTGTATTTCTAAAACTTGCGTTACGCAAACGTAAACTTACGTTTCGGAGGAATTCGTTAAACTTTTACGATCCATCCGATGTAGAAAGTTGGCGTGTTCTTGTAATGTGGGATACGCGATACGATAAACTCGGCATCGATCGCTCTTAAATATTTTATGGTGAACATGAATATATGTATATTGAATGTTTGATACGCCCGTCCCGATGCCGCTTCCTCACGTTACTCACGTTCGCGATACGCGCGAATTTATATTGTAAACGACGTTCTTGTAATTACTCGGGCGAGCGGTGCTTCGAATTGAATTGATTTTTATTTAATTCTACTCGATCATCGGGATGGATAAATAATATCCAATTTTCAGTTCATTAATCGTATAAAGTGCTGACTCTGCGTTGACGATTGAATTAAAACAGCGACCGATTACTGATCGATTAACGCTCGTGACTGTAAATCAATCTGGAGTAAATGAACGTTACATTTAAATTGAATATTTATATTTTTGTTCTGTCACTTACAAAACGTTTATTATAATTTCCCCTTCTCTCTACCTCTTTCCTCCTCTGACAAAAGACAATTATATTTTATATAATTTTTAAACGTGATATTAACATCCATTAAGGGCGATTTTAAAATATTAGAATGGAATCAATTTACATGAAGTCGACGAGATTACAATCGGAATCAGCTTTCGTCCTTATCACTATTACTTTCAAATTCTACTAAATCTTTTTATTTATTTATTCGAAGAATTCCGAAATGTGAAAGCATCCCGCAATATAGAAACTTCGCAAGAATGAAAGAGATTGTTAGCTGACAAACTTTCAGTTCACAATGATTCACAATGTGACTTTACTTGATATTATCAGCAATGAGAGAAAGCACAGCTCGGCGAGTCAAATAATTTCACTGCGTCTCACAATCCATAATTTGCCCAAGTTTTAAAGACGCGCGTGCGAAAGTTTGCACGTCGGGGGATGAGAAGTCAGATGGAGACAAGAGAGAGAGACAGAGAGAGAGAGGAGGGAGGGAGAGAGAGAGAGAGAGAGAAG